ACTGATTATTAAAATTTGACTATAATTATAAATAGGTTTATAAGATTTATAAACTTAAATCTTTAAGAAAAAATTAAGTTTTTAATACGATTGGATATTAATTTTTTTTAAAGCCTTCCAAAGGTTTTCTGTACAAGAATCTGCTCCCATGCAGTAAAGAACTCATTCAACACTTTTTAAAAATGAAAAGCATTATTTCTGGGCTCTCTATTCTGTTTCATTGGTCTATGTGTCTTTTTATGTCAGTACCATGCTGTCTGGGTTACTATAGCTTTGTAGTATATTTTGAATATACTACTAAAAAGTGCCCAGAAATAAATCCACACATTTATGGTCAATGTAGTTTTGACAAAGGTGCCAAGAACACATAATGGGGAAAGAACAGTCTCTTCAATATAATAAATGGTGCAAATGAAACTAGGTGCTTATTTTCTCCCCATGTATAGAAATCAACTCAAAATGGATTAAAGATGTAAATATAAGACCCAAAACTATGAAACAGCTAGAGGAAAAGTTCCATGACATTGGTCTAAACCCTGGATGATGATTTTTTTAATATGACCCCAAAAGCACAGGCAACAGAAGCAAAAATAGACAAAGGGGATTGCTTCAAACTAAACAGCTTCTGTACAGGAAAGGAAGCAATCAAATAACATAGTGAAGAGACAACCCATGGACTGGGAGAAAATATTTGTAAAAACCATACATCTGATAAAGGATTAATATCACACTATACAAAGAACTCAATGTAGTCAGTAACAAGAAAACAAATAACCTGATTTAAAAATGGACAAAGGGCCTGAATATACATGTCTCAAAAGAAAACATACAAATGGCTAACAGATAGATGAAGACATATTCAACATCACTAATCATCAGAAGAAATGCAAATTAAAACCACAGTTCAGCATCACCTCACACTTGTTAGAATGGCTATGATCAAAATGATGAAAGGTGTGGAGAAAAGGGAATCCCACTGTTGGTGGGAATGTAAATTAGTACAGCTATTGTAGAAAACAGTATGTATGTTCCTCAAAAAATTAAAATCAGAACCAGCCTATGATCCAGCAGTCCCACCACTGGGTGTACATCCCGAGGACTGAAATCAGTATGTCAAAGGGCTGTCTGTGCTCCCGTGTTCGCTGCGGCGCTGTTCACAACCGCCGAGGTATGGAACCAACCTGAATGTCCATCAGCGAGGGGATGCGTAAGGAAAATGGGATCTGTATATACCATGGAATACCACGAAGCCTTAAAAAAAGGAAATCTTGTCATTTGTGACAACATGGGTGAACCTGAAGGACAGCACGCTAAGTGAAATAAGCCAGGCACAGAAAGACAAGTAACTCAAGATCTCACTTATATGTGGAACCTAAACAAATTAAACTCGTAGAAGGAGAGAGTGGGGCGGTGTTTACCAGAGTCTGGGGTGGGGAGGGATTGTGGAGACGTTGGTCAAAAGGTAAAACATTTCAGTGAGACAGGAGGAGTGAGTGCAAGAGATCTATTGTGCAACATGGTGACCACAGTTAATAACAATATGTTGTATTCTTGAAAACTGCTAACAGAGTAGATTTTAAGTGTTCTCATCACAAAAAAAGTGCATGAGGTCATACATGGTAATTAGCTCAATTTAGCCATTCCACAATGTATCCATATTTCAAAACCCCATGTACATGATGAATACATATAATTTTTGTCAATTTAAAATTAATTTTAAAAAGCATCATGCATTAAATTATTAAATTTAACAGAAAGAAATTGAAGTAAAATGAGGGAACTAACTACTGAACTTTAGATAAATGCTTTTTTCAGGAGGTACTGGTTCCTAATAAATCCTGCTAAGATTAAAAAATAGTTTATGGGAACCATTAAGAGCTCAGAGTCTGCTTTTTTCACTCCAGGCCTCCCATGCACAGTACTGACCACCCTGCTCTGAAGATGAGCTGAGCAGCTCTTAGGCTGCCTCTCAAATCCCTCATCCCACCTCCAGAGTCTTGGTTTGTATTGTTTTCACTTTGTTAGGGTTTATAACAGTTTCTTCCTGACCTGCCATCATAATCTCCCTAGTTTAGTCTTAATTCTGTGTGCAAATGGGCTTGAGAGTTGGCCCCAGTCCTTTTAGAGTACACTTCAATTCTTGAGGTTTTTTTCTTTTGAGACAGAGTCTCACTTTGTTGCCCAGGCTAGAGTGAGTGCCGTGGCGTCAGCCTAGCTCACAGCAACCTCAAACTCCTGGGCTCATGCAATCCTGCTGCCTCAGCCTCCCGAGTAGCTGGGACTACAGGCATGCGCCACCATGCCCGGCTAATTTTTTCTATATATATTAGTTGGCCAATTAATTTCTATTTATAGTAGAGACGGGGTCTCGCTCTTGCTCAGGCTGACCTGGGCAATCCTGGCCTCGAGCAATCCGTCCGCTGCGGCCTCCCAGAGTGCTAGAATCACAGGCGTGAGCCACTGTGCCCGGACTAACTCTTGAGTTTTTAATGTGAGTTCGTTTATTGGTTGGCTGGATTTCATTGTCTAGTTTTTCTCCCACAAAGGGCTTACGTAGGTGATAAGTTCTCTGAATAAAGGTGGTTAAAAGGTGGTATATATGGAGGATAGACAAAAATGGGATCATCAAAGGTTAAATGTCCAAGCAAATGGAAAAGGAATACAGAGGAAAATGTGTTTAGAGATATGCTACAGGAAAATTTGTTCAAAATGAAGGAAGAATTGTACCAAATAATTGAAAAAGCATATTGAAGAATATTCAGAGACACAGTTATTATCAAAGCAACTTGCTTTTTATGCCTCTAAGGCTGAAAAAACTACGCTCATCCACGTAAGGGTGGGTTAAGTTATCAGACTAGCAAATATGAGACCGATGCCACCTCCTGCTGGCAAGGGTATGAACAGATAGCTGTGTCCACAAACTCCTGGGAAGGTTATGAACTGCATTAGCTTCTCAGAGTGACAGTTTGGCTGCGAACATCAGAAGCTCGGAGTTACCTGGGCACCCTTGGAGGTGCTTCTTCTTGCCTGGGGGAAATCCCAGCGCCCCATTCCTCTCTCTGCCTCATGCCTTTTCCTTTCCTATTCCATTCTCCATATCACTAGCAGGATTATCAAAGTTCTTTTAATTATAGAAGTTTCCAAACACTTAAAAGACAGAAATGTGAACTCCCATGGTGCACATCACCAGTGTCAACAATTATCAACATTTTCCCTTCTTTTTTCATCTCTGCTGCTGCACCCTCCCACTTTTTTGGGGGAGTTTTTCGGACAAATTATAGTTTGTTTTCTAAATAAAACATGATAGCTAGTTCTTCTCCTAGGGCTGGAGCCCACCCCTCCAGGTGCAGCCCCAGCTACTTACTCAGCCTGGGTCTGCTCTCAAACCACGGCCCCCACCACGCCGAGCGACTACAGCTTCCCAAGAACGCCTGAGGACCATCCTCCAGGACTCCCTCCACCTCGCTCCTGGTGACATCGGGTCAGGCATCAGGCTCCAGAAAGGCTTGTCTGATAAATACCCATCTTCATACCTTCCCCAGCAGCTCACCTCTCTGCTTCCACTTCTCTTACCGGGCACGTCACCGTCCAATGCCTTTCATGTGCCTCCTCCCTGCATCATCCCTGATGCCATGGCCTGGGCGCAGGGCCCGGCACACGGGAGGCATTTACAGTAATGTCTATTACAGGCTTACCAGAGTCAAAATTACTCTACAAGGAACACTGCTTTAGCTGTTAATTCCGTGTGCCCCAGTGTTTCAGATTCCTTCTAGAATAAAGGCAACGGGTGGGGGAGGACAGTCAGGGAGAGAAGGCGGCGGAACCGAGGAAGCCGGGCACCTAACACACTGCTCATTTTCATCTTACCTCTGACCAGCCCCTGTATTAAATTAAAATCACCTATGGTGGCCCCTTTAATACTGGGGTTGACGAACTACAGCCCCGCAGACAAACCCTGCTCACTGCCCCCTTTTGTAAGCTAGGTTTTACATTTTGGAAGGGTCATTAAAAAAAGAAAAGACTGTGTGACAGAGATTGCATGTGGCCTGCAAAGCCACATATTTACTATCCAGCCCCTTACAGAAAGTTTGCCAGCCCTGCTTTAACGGAACCAATCAATCTTGTGTAATTTAGAGCTCACGCATCTTCCCTGCAGGGTGTAGTAAATTCTGTGCGTTGGACTCATGTTACAAACCTTTGATTGTTTCCTGTGGGCAAAGGCTTAGGGCTATGGACAGATACCTTGGGTGGTGAGCTGTAACCCAATGAGCACCTCTCTGGGTTTTGAATGCAAGTGGAGAGACCGGCAGGAGCACATAACCCATTAAAACACAGAGCACATGCTCGCAAGCAGAATTAGGGGAGCGGGATCATCCACGGCTCGGCTCGTCAGTTACCAGCCAGCTGCCAGGGAACATTAGGGGAGAATCTCTAATTAGCAAGGGCTGGATGTGATTTACACACGATCTCCTCCAGCTCAAGGGCATTTGTACCGGGTGTAAGAGAGCAAATGTCTAGAAAGATGCCAAGGTTCAGGTGACAGGAAAAATATAAAAGGAGATAAAATGATTATTTAACTCAAACGCATTGAACTAGCAGCAATGAAAGCAATACTAGTGTTCACACTGATTCATCGGGTCAGCGTCTAGAAATGCATGTTAAGGAAACGACACAAAACACAGAATGAGTTATGTTCACGCTGCTGTTTCTGGCAGTGCTCTTGAGAGAGAGACCTTGGGAATTAGTTGAGTCCCCAGAGTGTACTCTGTGGGTAACCACTGCATTGCCACCAGATGGAATATCAAGCAGTCATCAGCAGTGACGGTTAGAAAAGAGACCTCGCCTGGTGCTGGTTGTCACTTAAGCCCTTCCAACAGGCGGAGGATGGGAACCAAGTTCCCAGGCTGGAAAACTAGCCGGGGGGTGGGGGGGGGGACAGTTCTAATGGAAGAACTTTATTTAGGCTTCATGCTTCACCTTAAAAACATCTGCAAATTAAATACATTCATACTCACTTTAATATCAAAAGAACCTCAACTCCGAGACACCAGCACAGTCCAGGCTTCCCACCCCCGGTGCATCACACACATCACAGGGGCTCCACAGACCCCGGGTTAAGCAGCAATTAAATGATATAAAACAAAAAAATCCAAACAGGATAGAAAACTGCACACACATAAAATGGCCACATCTAACCAAAACCACCGCCACTGGGGAAACATGTAAAATGTCAATAATGGCTGGGTCAGCACAGTGGATTTTAGATATAAGATTTTCTATTTTCTTTCTTTCTGTTAATGTGGTTTTATTACTTTTACAATAAAAAAATGTGCTCAGAATCATCTCGCTGAGTTGCTAAGTCTCTTGGGTGGCAACAAAATCTGAGGCAGATGATCACAATACTAGTTTCCAATTTTGGTATTCTTTCTTGGACTAATTTGAAGAAATGTAGGATCATAAAAATATGAATCATAAGTTACAAATACACTCTGTTGAGTGTGCTGTAAGTTGACTAGAGGCCAAGGACCAGAATTCAAATGAAATGAAACCTACGAGTTTGGGCTCATGAACAAGTCCGTGAAAGGGAGTGTGAGGACAACACTGCAAAACATGAAGAAATGTCACATACGCGCAGACTAAACACTCCCACTCTAGGCCCCAACACGGCGCCTCTGATGAGCGGATGCGAGTGTCTCACTGCAGCTCTCAGGCAGCAACGGCCTCATCCACACGTGGCAGTTTCTCCCAGACTGCGCCTCGCCCCACAGCACAGCGTGCCGGTGCCCAGACGCCTTGCGCTGCTCTCCGCCCCCGAAGGTGTGAGCGGAGCTAAAGTTATCGCAGGTGACGGAAGATTACCGGCCAACCCGGAAACCCTGAGTAGCTGAATTAGATCAGGGTCTGCCCATGGCCAAGTGGGGGCAAAGCTGTCACTGGACTGTACAAAACTTTCCCCTCTTCCCTGTCTCACCACTGAAAAATTCCCCGATTTTATGTCAAATTCCTAATAGAGGTGAACAAAATGATTGCTCCTTTTCTGACAATAAAATGCTATAATTTAGTACTACTTCTTTGCAATGCAGTAATTAGTTAAAATTAATAAAACTCCTGTTTTCCAATTTATCAAAAACTAGGCCTATAAAACTAGAAGTCACTCTCACACTTATTGATACCTACCTGTTCATCAGTTTAATGCTAAAACTAAGCTCAGCATAGAATTACACTGCTCAAAAGCACTTAAAATTCTCTAATTTTATGAATTGCCCAGGTAGTCATAACCTTATAATTAAATAACAATTCCTTGCACATAGTAGATATCCCTAAATATATGTCGAATACACAATCAGCAATAGTGTTCCTGATTCACCATTCACTATAAAAAGTGTAAAAGGGAAACCAATTATGCAGGTAGGGATTTGTGACTCGAGTGGATTTTATTTTTGCAGGCAAGACGGCAGCAAAGACGACGTAAATTAATCTTCCGACTGAGGGCTCTCAGTGTCGTGGTGACTCGCGCCCTGAAGAGGGCTGTGGCATCCTGAATTTGGAGAGGTCGAGGTTCAGGTCGAGGAAGGTGTAGGGGGTGTAGTCATGATGCTGCAGGTTCTTGTAGGTGCTGTTGTCAAACGGCTCCGCAGCCACCAGGGCGGGCTCTGTGGAGGGAACAGGACACTGTGAGAAAGCCCACGAGGACAGCTCTTCATGAATGACCGGGCTCCCACGCCTGTCTGCCGGCCATTCTCCAGCAGTCCTACCTGTGCAGAACAGACTGTCTAATCAGAAGAGAAAAGCTCATGAAAGCCACAGTATCTTAAAAGCAGAAGAAAGATATTAGTTGAAAATGTATCCTAAAACATAATAATTTAAGAAATGGAATAGTTGTTAGAATGTGTCTTAACATCATTCTTTGTGTACTTTTAGGGCTCAGACTTCTCAAAAGTTTGAAAATGCCAAAGACAATTATAGAGGGACTTTCAGGTCACTTAAAGATGTATGAAAAAAATTACTTCTGTAAGGTATCTGTCTACATAGAAATGAACCATTTATAAAAACTTTTTTTTTTTTAGACAGAGTCTCACTTTGTTGCCCAGGCTAGAGTGAGTGCCTTGGTGTCAGCCTAGCTAACAGCAACCTCAAACTCCTGGGCTCAGGAGATCCTTCTGCCTCAGCCTCCCTAGTAGCTGGGACTACAGGCATGAGCCACCATGCCTAGCTAATTTTTCCTATATATTTTTAGTTGGCCAATTAATTTCTTTCTATTTTTAGTAGAGATGGGGTCTCGCCCTTGCTCAGGCTGGTCTTGAACTCCTGAGCTCAAACGATCCACCCGTCTCGGCCTCCCGGAGTGCTAGGATTTACAGGCGTGATCCACCGCGCCTGGCCTATAAAAACTTTTGAAAAGCAGAAACTAGGGGAGCATTCTAAGTCTCTGAATACAATTAGATAAATTCTATTATAACAACAGAGTTAAGGGGAATGAAATGAAATCTGTAGGTTTTGTTGTTTTAACCTTTTTTGAAAAAACTGTTGGAATACTTTAGAGTAATAGGCTAAAAATACTAACTTTAGCTTTGTATCTTTAAATGGGAAAAACAATTAAAAACCATACGCCTACGCATCTGATAATCTTAAAGCCACAAGCATGGGGTCGAAGCAACAGAAACACTGCTGTCCTGCAACGTGGCACGCAAACTGATGGCAAAATGAAGCGTCCCGAGAGGATAGGCTGACATTTGGGTCAGGGTTCTCACCAGCAAAATTTCTGGAAATCAGGTCATTAGGACTGTCTCAACTTCTAATCATGCTGCATGCAAAATATGTATTTTTTCACTATTTCGATTAATATCAAAAGCTTTGTTTTTTGTTTTACTTGTGTTAAATAAAAATGATGTTTTATTGAAAGAGCTGACATCTCTTCAATCTCAACTAGCTTAATGTCTTCCATGCGGTGCAGGCACGACTTCAAAGTGGGAGGCACTATCACAGTGAACACAGAGAAGGTAACGGAAGGGAGGTGTGGGTTACAAAACTCTTATCCAAAACCAACCCCCCGGAAGGCGAGGAGCGCGGTGCGTGGGGCACGGACGACTTGGCGAGAGGTCCGTCTGCCCTGCACAGACACAGCCTGGAAAGTGGGCTTTGCTCTGGGGTGTCTTCTTTAGCCTTTGAAGGGCAAAGGGAGTATTTGAGAAATAATACATCCCTGAAACATTAGAAGCAAGTTTCTTTTCAAAAAAGTTAGCAATCTGAAAGTCCCCAGTTTTGACGATTTTCCGTCCCGCTGTTTTTGGCACTGCTCCCTGTCAGTCATGGAGCCGATGACTGTGGACGCAGTGCCAGGGACGCAGGCCTCACGGTCTGGAGAAGCCCGGCGAGCAGCGGCACTTTGCATAGCAACGAAAGAGGGAGCAAATGGAAAGGGAAGAAAACACATAAATCCTGTCAACATAACGTCACCAACAACAATGTACCAGGTAATACAAATTAGGCCCGAGGCGGCTTTAAAAAGAACGAACAGCAGACACAGAAGGAGCCGGATCTGTCAGCAATAATACATTTTAAGGGAGTCTCAAAGAGCCACATTCTAAAATGCAAGAAGTCCTGCTTTTCAGGTTTGCCATGACCAACCTAAAACAAATTACATTTTTTCAGGTTTAGTGCCCAAGAAAATGGTAACATAATAGGAATAACACTATTACCCTTTAAGAGCCCTTCATAAATTCATTACAGAAGAATAAAGCGGCCTATGTGTATTTTCCAGGTAAGTCAGAGAAGGAAATGTCTAGTGAAAAGAAAGGTTTTCCCAGTCTGTGGCCGCCTTTGTGTGGTACCCACTGCTTTAGTGCACAAGGATGCTAAAGCAGCCATCTGGTTTGGCACCTGAACACTGTCATACCAACTGTAACCACTGGCCTCCACTGTGCAAGTTAAATAGGAGACCCCCCTTCTCTCTCACATGCTCTGCAAGCTCATGAAATGAACACTTGGGACACCCTCAAAATATAAGGGTGAAGACATTGAACTGCCAGTTTTCAAAGATATTGGTTAAGAAATAGTCAAGAGTGCCAAGGGCACACTCTTTCATTTTTTATTTTGAGATGGGGTCTTTCTGTGTTGCACAGGCTGGCCTCAAACTCCTGGGCTCAAGTGATCCTCCTGCCTCAGCCTCCCAAGTAGCTGGGATTATAGGCATTAGCTACCACATCAAGTTCATCTTAAAATAAATTTAAAATATCTTAGGTATTTTGTATATTAAGATGTGTTACCCAGAATTAAGACACACTTCTCTGCTTAGCTGAGCCAGTGTCACAGGCCATATTTCTATTGTAAAATCTGATATGAATACTACTTTATAATCACAGAGAAATGTAAACTAGTTCTTTAGAGTCTAACTACCCCTCAGGGAATGGAAGAGGTCACAAGCACAAGTCAAGGTATACCCTGTGTGCCGTCCTGGTCTCCCACGGGCATGGCGGGGGTACTCCACTGGCATGGCGGGGACTCCCACTGGCATGGCGGGGACTCCCACTGGCATGGCGGAGACTCCCACTGGCATGGCGGATATCCCACTGGCATGGCGGAGACTCCCACTGGCATGGTGGAAACTTCCACAGGCATGGTGGAGTCTTCCACGACCTCACTCTCAAGCCTTAGCACCGTGGCCTTTTCATCAAGAACATCTTTATTCTTAGCAGGAACTGTCTTCAAATCCCTTATTGGTGCCTGATCTTCTGAGATCTCTTCTCTAGTCTTCACGTGCCCTCCTGTTGCCTGCTGCCTCAAGTGCTCTTTTCCGAGCGAGGCGGCTGCCTGCCCGTGGAGCTCTGGCACTTGCTCCCCCAGACGTGTCTCTCCAGCCCCAGGAGGAGCGGCTTGCGGCTGCCCTTCCACCGTGGCCTTCTCTCCCAGGGTGGGCGCGGGGCCGCTGGCCGGCTGTGCAGACAATCCTGATTTTGTGCGGCCAGGTAAGATTCCTTTAACTTCAAATGGCTTTTGGCTTTCTTTACCTATTTCATTTGATCCAAGTATGTTCTGCAATTGGTTTTCTTTTATATCTTGCCTTGCGATCTCTTCATGTACTTGTGATTTGGGCGCCATGATTTTGGGTTTAGTATCTTTCCTATCCTCTGATAGCTTGGCGGTGGGCCCTTTCTTCTTTGGCTGACGGGGCTTCTCTGGGGAGGCGGGGTCTGTGTGAGGCTTCTGCGGCCGGGTTTTCTCTTTGGCTGATGTCGCCGTTTGGAGGGCTGTGTCTCCAAGGGCACGGGAGACCTCTGGTTTCCGAGACCCTCCTGGGCCTTTGCTCACCGCTCGAGGACCCGCCTCTGAGGCGTCAGTCTCCTCGTCAGACTCTGAATCAGAGGAGCTGGACGAAGACGAAGACGAAGACGAAGACGAAGACGAAGCATCTGTCACTTTCTGGCCCTTCCGACGAGCTTCTGAACCGGAGGCCTGTTTTCTGAGTGGAGACGGAACTTTCTGAGGAAACTCTACCAAAGTCTTTCTTGGCAAAACTCTCGGAAGCCCTTGGTGTGTGCGCAGCGTGCTGTCATCGGGGCTGGGGCTAGCTACCGCCCCGCCTTTATTCTCGACTGACGGGTAGGGACGGGGTGAAGATACGTGTCTAGACAATTCAGCTGCTGCCGGGGTGGCTAGCAGCTTGCCCTTCTCCTTTGGTGCCACTACATCTAGGAAATGGCATAAAGAGGAATACTTTTAATATTTAACAAAAACAAGCTCATCAGTCAAAACCACAGACATTTCATTACACATCAGCTTGTCATTCGCAACGTCTGCACTGCGATCATCCGAGGACAACTCCGTGAAAACCGCTCGCGAGCGCCAGCCCAGCCTCGGGGTGAGAAGCAGGACGGAATGGAGATGCTTTCTTTGGTAGCTGAAAAACTTAAAAACGAGTATTTGCACTAACAGGAGCGACAGATTTGTTTCCATTTTTCACACTGACAACTTCTCTAACCATAGTTACTTTTTAAACTCTTTTCCCCCAAAATTTAAGACAGTTAAACTATATTAAAAATATATTTTCAGATGACCATTCAAGTTTTACAATGTATAATTTATTTATTTTCTTTTTTTTTATTTTGGCATATTATGAGAGTACAGATTTTAAGGTTTCAATAAATGCCCATTCCCCTCCTCCCGATGTATAATTTCTTGAATTCCTAAAACACTGGTGCTTTTCAAATATTAAAAAAAAATTCAGACTTGAACTTTCTGAACAGAACAGCGAGGCAAAAGTACAGGCAAGAGCCTGGTCTGAGGGATGCATGCACCTGTGACCAAGGGGCATGGGGAATGATGCAGTTCAAGTCAAGTCACTCTAAACAGCAAGAACAGTTCTTCAAAATCACACAAGTCATTTCGGGATTTCTTCAGCCAAAAAAAAAATATATATATATATACACACACACACACACACACACGCACACACACGTACATATATACGTATATATAGTATTACACTACCAAGGAAGCCTAAACTAATTTAACTTCATAGATATCACTGGAAATAGCAGATTTTCAAACTGTAAAAAATAAAATAAGTGGCTGGAGTGCAGTGGCATGGTTGTAGCTCACTGAAACCTTGAACTCCCGGGCTCAAGTGATCCTCCTGCCTCCCTAGGAGCAAGGACTGCAGGCACATGCCACCATGCCAGTCTAATTTTTAAATTAAATAGGGTCTTGCTACGTTGCCCAGGCTGGTCTTAAATTCCTGGCCTCAAGCAATCTTATTGCCTCAGTCTCCCAAAATGCTGGATTACAGGTGTGAGCCACCATGCCTGGCCCTCAAATAAAATATATATGTATATTTTACTTATTTATTTTTTTGGTGAGATAGAATCTTGCTCTGTCAGCCGTTCGCTCAGACACACCAGCCAGGCCAAGCACACGATCTCCGCCAGACAACCACCCAGCCAGGGCAGCACATCGATTCCTCGCTCAGGACAACACCAGCAGGCAGCACACCGATCTCGCTCAGACCACCACCCAGCCAGGCCACACCACCGATCTCGCTCAGACCACCACCAGCCAGGCAGCACACCGATCTCGCTCAGACCACCACCCAGCCAGGCTAGCACAGCACGATCTCGCTCAGACACCACCCACCAGGCCAGCACACCGATCTCCTCAGACAACCACCCAGCCAGGCCAGCACACGATCTCGCTCAGCACACCAACCCAGCCAGGCCAGCACACCGATCTCGCTCAGCACCACCACCCAGCCAGGCCACAGCACACGATCTCGCTCAGACCACCACCAGCCAGGCCAGCACACCGATCTCGCTCAGACACCACCCAGCCAGGCCAGCCACACCGATCTCGCTCAGACAACCACCCAGCCAGGCCAGCACACCGATCTCGCTCAGACCACCCAGCAGCACAACCGATCCTCAGCCACCCAGCCAGGCAGCACCGATCTCGCTCAGACCACCACCCAGCCAGGCCAGCACACCGATCTCGCTCAGACCACCACCCAGCCAGGCCAGCACACCGATCTCGCTCAGACCACCACCCAGCCAGGCCAGCACACCGATCTCGCTCAGACCACCACCCAGCCAGGCCAGCACACCGATCTCGCTCAGACCAACCCCCAGCCAGGCCAGCACACCGATCTCGCTCAGACAACCACCCAGCCAGGCCAGCACACCGATCTCGCTCAGACCAACCACCCACCACGCAGCACACCGATCTCGCTCAACACCACCAGCCAGGCACAGCAACGATCTCGCTCAGACCACCACCCAGCAGGCCAGCACACCGATCTCGCTCAACACACCAGCCAGGCCAGCACACCGATTCGCTCAGACCCACCACCCCAGCCAGGCCAGCACCACCGTCGCTCAGACACCACCACCAGGCCAGCACACCGATCTCGCTCAGACCACCACCCAGCAGGCCAGCCACCGATCTCCGCTCAGACCACCACCCAGCCAGGCCAGCACACACGATCTCGCTCAGACACCACCCAGCCAGGGCCAGCAACACCGATCTCGGCTCAGACAACCACCACCAGCCAGGCCAGCACACCGATCTCGCTCAGACCACCACCAGCAGGCCAGCACACCGATCTCGTCAGACCACACCAGCCAGGCAGCACACGATCTCGCTCAGACAACCACCCAGCCAGGCCAGCACACCGATCTCGCTCAGACAACCACCCAGCCAGGCCAGCACACCGATCTCGCTCAGACAACCACCCAGCCAGGCCAGCACACCGATCTCGCTCAAACCACCACCCAGCCAGGCCAGCACACCGATCTCGCTCAAAACACAAAGAACAAGTCAGAGGCCGCAGAGCCCACCGCGACCGGAGCAGAAGCTCTACAAAGCCCAAGGCAAT